TTTTCAGGTTTAATGGGTTGTTTGCTCTCTACTGCCATCTGCTGTCCACATGTACCAAGCTCAGGGCCAGAGCCCCACGTTTCTCAGCTCCCTGCATAAAAGGGCAGGGTTTGCAAACAGACCTCTCATCATGCTGTCCAAAAATACCTGCAGTTTGCATCTTAAAGAAGGAGCATCTCTCTGGCTTTAAATACTTAGAAAACTTTTCCTGAATTGCATCTCACTATTGAATTTCTATGCCAAACAATAGCTTATTTTCCTGACTCCCAGAGCAGAAGGTAAAGAAGCAGAGACAACTTAATTACTTCCCAATGCAGGGGCGGTCTTGGCCAGTCCAGCTAGGATTCCATGATTGCATTCCTGTTCTCTATACTTACGGAAGTGAAAAACTGAGCCTGGACAGACAGGAGAAGGGAAGTGCCGTCAGCCATGTCACGGCAGGGCCTCTCAGATGGTCCAGAAGAGGCTGTGTGAGTCTTTCCACCACTGGCACACAGAGGAGCAGTTAGGTTTCAAATGATGAAGTAGGGTGCTACTAGGAAGCTTGAATACAAAGCTCTATCCACTGTTGTGTCCTAAGGAAGTAATTTCTATTTAAAATGGTTATCTTGGGATGAGAGTGACCCACTGTCATAGCTGTGACCTGGCGATAGGTCCCTGAGGTAAACTAGCCTGTTATGGCAAACAGTAATGTATCTGTTCAAAGAAAAGAAGTGTGTGTGGAGAGCCTGAGTTTATCTCTGAGAGAAAATGTTTACAGCTCACTAAGTTTGTTATAAGTGATGAAAGTATGCTGTTTTCTGCCCCTCCTCCCCTCTGCTTTCTCTTTTCTCACCCCTCCTCTTCTTCTTCCATATTTGCCCAAACACAGCCCTTGTCAATTTAGCCCCATTGCCTTTGCTAAGTGTGACGTTTCCATGTTGGTTTTTTCAAGGAAATCTATTAAAACACAGATTGTGAGACACTGACTGGAAAGTAGGTAGGAGCCTCTGCCCCATTTCTTCATCTGCGTTCCCCAGTCCTGTCCGTGCTAGACAGTGGAGTGCCTCTAAGGAGTGGAGGAGCTCTCTAGGTGCAGTCTGAGGATACTGGGTATCATGTTGACAGGCTCATCAGTCTCTGTGGAGCTGGAAAGTTCATCTTGGTTCCTGAGCTTCTGTGTGTGTGCGCACGTGTGCTGGTGCGAGTGTGTATGTATATGTATCGTGTGTGTGTGTGCGTGCACGCATGCATCCTGGTGCATGCAAGTGTGTATATGTGTGTGCTGGTACATGTATGTGTATATTCATGTTCTGGTGCATGCATGTATGTGTATGTATGTGCTGATATGACTTGAACCATCAGAGAAATTATGAAAAGTCTGTGGTTTGACTATTTAACACATTTACTGAAGTATGTAATGTATATGCATATATAGACATGTATAATTTTGGTTGGTTTTGGTGTATAGATGCCTGCATACAAATGAATGAAATCAGGAAGATTAGCTTGTTTTGTTTTGAATTCCAGTGCTAACACGTAGTAGGTGTTTAAATTTTTTTCTCAGTGAAAGGATGAATGAGTATATCTCTCTTCTTTTGAATGTTCTGAGTAACAGCATAGTATATTTATTCCTTCATACTTTCAAATACTCAAGAAGTTTTTGTGGATTTGATGCTGCTTATTTGATCAACAACTATCATTGAGGTCTATGATCTGCCAGCCACTGTGTCAGGTACTGGGGATAGGGAAGAAACTCATTGTCTGCAACTAAGGGAGCGATATGATGTTTCTTGCTGATGTTGGAAAGTCATTAACTCTATTGGTTAATATTTCTGAAGAAGTACCATACATTTCTCTAATAAAAATATGGGCCATACAAATGTAAGGGAAGAACTGTGGAGAAGCACTGTTTGCTACAGGGCAGATTGACTTCTTGGCTGCCCAGTGCTTGTGCTATCACCTGATAGTCCTACCCAAATGCTGCTACCCTCTTCCTTCCCATCTTTGAGGGTGGGTTCTGAGGAGTGCAAGGGAAGACTGACCCTGAACTTGCCATTGCTAAGAGTCTCTGCTCACCAGCCACAGTGGGGGAAACACATCTGCCTCTGTGCTTCCTTCCACCTCAGGACAAGGAATGATGTCAAAGCGAGGAGTAAGGAGAGTGACCCCACATAATAGCCCTGTGCCTCAGAAAAAGAAAAACTGGAAAAGAAATAAATGCACTGTCTCATTTTATCCTTTGAAGATCACAAATGAGGATTATGGCTAAGGAGTCTTAAATTCCAGATTACCCCACCTGCTGTTCCAGTATCCCATCTGTCTTAGTATTCGTCATAGATTTTTAAAAACAGATTTTATTTTTTGGAGTAGGTTTGGGTCATCATAAAACTGAGCAGGAGGTACAGAAAGTTCCTGTACACTCTCTCCCCACACAGGCATAGCCTCTGGACTATCACCATCCCACCACAGTGGTACAGTTGATGAGCCTATAGTGACATGATATTATGACCCAAAGGCCACAGTTCACATGAGGGGGTCCCTTAGTGCTGTGTTCACCTATGGACTTTGACAAGTGCATAATGACACATACTTAACATTATAGTGTCACTGTTCTAAGAGTCCTCTGTGCTCTATTTATTCCTATTACCCTCAAATTTCCTTTTTAGAAAAATGTTAGTAGAATTTTGTTTGAAAAATTTTATACTTATTTTTATGATTTCTTTGGGAGTTTCATACAATGTACTTTGATCATATTAGCCCCCTCCCCCAACTCCTTCCAGATCTGCTCCTACCTCCCAACCCATCCAACCTTGTGTTACTTCTTTTGCCCCATCAAGTAATTTGTGTTGCTCAAATACTCTTGAGTATGGAACCAGGCCTGGATGTGGTTGACCTACAGGGCCACACCCCTAGAGAAAACTGACTCTTCCTCTCCCAGCAGCTGTCATGTGCTCCTTGGGTAGGAGTGGATGTTCATGCCCACCTCTACCTCCATGCTGGAATTTTGACTGGCCTGAGATCAAGCACGTTTTGTGCATGCTGTCACAACTGCTATGAGTTCATATGTGCAACTGCTCTGCTGTCTGGAAAACTGATTCCTTGTAGTCATTCATTATTTCTGGATCTTAAAATCTTTCTTCCCCATCGTCCTTAGGATCCATGAACCTTGGTGGAGTGGGGTTGGTGGTGATATAGAGGTCCCATTTAGGGCTGAGCACTCTAGTCTGCACATTAACCAGTTGTGGGTCTCTGTGATAATTTCCTTCTACTGCAAAAAGAAGCTTCTCTGATGAGGACCGAGAGATGCACTAATCTATGGGTGTAACAATAAGTCATTGGCAGTCATTTTAATACTATGTCCATAGTAGAATACTATGTCCATATTCGTAGTAGATTCTCCCGTAGGGCCCATGACCTGTCCAGCCACAGGTTCTTAACCCTGATAATGGCATCAGGTATGGATTGCATCCAGTGAAGTGGAGCTTAAGTCTAATAAGAAAGCATTTAGTTACTCCCATACATTTTAAAAGTTTTTTTTAATTTTCATATTATGTGTATGAGTGTTTTGCCTGCATATATGTAAGTACACCACGTGCATGCAATGCCCATGGAAATCAAAAGAGGGTGTTGGATCCCCTGGAACGGAATTATGGACAGTTCTTAGCTTCCATATGGGTGCTGGGAACCAAACCCAGGTCCTCTGCAAGAGGTCTTTTATAGGTCTTTCAACATAGTAAAACTACATTCTATGTCAATAAATTTCTTTTTAGATTATATAAACAACTGTTTTTATAACTTCTACTTTCAAAGGGACTCAGATTTGGATGACAAATTGCATGGTATTCAAAATTAGAGTCCATATATGCCTTTGCTCCCCCAAGAGTTAAATATTCTGCCTTGGGCATCTAGCCAATCAGGTACAGAGCAGGAGTGAATCCTGGGTCTACCACATAAGCCTGCTTAGGAGGCAATTCAGATTACCAAGCATAGTGCAGCCTAGCCTTGTTTCAAAAGAGTTAGAAAATGGAATTTCTTGTGTATTTCTAACTCAGATATGAGAAGAGTCCCTCTATAAGTCAACAGATAAGACACTTAGTAGGGAATTGAATGGACCACAAGAGGCCAGAGATCAAAGCTGAAGCAGACTAGCAAGGATGTGCCTAGAGCACATGGAATGCCACAGAAAATGCGGGATGCATGTGAAGAGAATATCTGTTTTAGGGAAGACTCCATCAGTCCAGACAGGGAGGAACAGCATCTTCACCAACATATGCATACTGCAATTTTGATACTGAAATTAGTTCACTTTGCATATTTCTGGGACAAAATACATCTGTTTATCCAGTAGACTGAGTCTAAATTCTTATTAAGTGCATACTAACCTTGTCTAGTATGATAATTAACTATTCTGTAGTATTACCCATGTGTAAGTTAAGCATGTTATCCTACAGAAGCCAATCAAAAGGTAATTGTTTCAAGGAAGGTTAGGCTTTCATAACGTCTGATTTATTCTCTACTTTTTAGAATGCAGTACTTAAAATATGTCTTGCAGGGCTAGAGAGATGGCTCAGCAGTTAAGAACATTGACTGTTCTTGCAGAGGACCGGGGTTCAAATCCCAGCACTCACGTGGCAGCTAACAACTGTCCGTAACTCCAGTTCCAGGGGATCTGACTGCCTCTTCTGTCTTCTGCGAGCATTGCATGACACAGGTGCACTTATCTACACACAGGCAATAAATGCATACACATAAAATAAATAAAAAATTTTTTTAAATGTCTTGCAATAAAAATGTAAAGGTTTCCTAAATCAGACAAGAAAGAGGGGTCACTCTAGCAAACAAGGTCACAAGGTGTGACCAATATGTATAAAAGTGACACAGAATGGTGAATGGAAGGGAGTCTTCCTCTCTGGTGCTGTTTGAATGTGTGGCATCAGGTGCTGGCTTGGTGGAAGCAGAATCACTGCATGTGATGGCTTTACTGCATGTGAAGAAGTGCTTTCTCTTGTTTCTGGCAGGCCTCTCCATCCGGAGCGTGTGCTGGAAAGCAGACCGCCTTCTAGCAGGGACCCAGGACAGTGAGATATTTGAAGTGATCGTGCGAGAGCGGGATAAGCCGATGCTGATCCTGCAGGGCCACTGTGAGGGGGAGCTCTGGGCTCTGGCTTTGCACCCCAAGAAGCCCCTGGCTGTGACAGGCAGTGACGACCGCTCTGTCAGGTGAGGCTCAGCTACAGCCACCTTCCCCTCAATGACTACTGACTTCTTGGGATAACAGATTTTTTTTTGCACAAATTTCTTGTTACTGAAGGATTAACGATAGTGTAGGGCCACATACTCTGAATGAGGAAGTGAGTGAGGAGTTTAGCTCAGTGCTATCTGCCTTCTTAGCATGTTATCTTTTTATGTATATGAGTGTATTGCTTACATGTATGTAAGTGCACCCATGTCATGCAATGCCCTCAGAGGTCGGAGGAGGGCATTGGATTCCCCTTACTGATGGTTGTTAGCCACCATGTGGGTACTGGGAACAGAACCGGGGTCTTCTGCAAGAGCAGCCAATGCTCTCAACCACTGAGCCATCTCTCCAGTCCTCGCATATTATCTTTTTTGGCTCATCTTAAATCATGAAAATCTTAGAAGTGAAAACATGTAACTCCCATTTAGGTTCTTGTCCAGCTAGTTCAAGACAGGAGCCAAACACACTCCTTGTGGTAAGATCAGATGTCTGCTAAAGGGGACTGCTTGGCCATTTGGCTGGGGTGGGGGGGGAGGATTTGAGACAGGGTCCACTATGTAGCCCTGGCTGACCTGAAACTCACTATGTAGACTAGGCTGACCTTGAACTCACAGAGATCCTCCTGCCTCTGTCTGCCAAGGGCTGGAGTTAAAGCTGTGTGCCATCATGCCTGGCCTTTGCCATTTATAGTTTAATCAGAGATACCCCCCTTTCCTTGTAAAACCCTCAGACTTGATTTTAAAATTGTCTTTAGCCTGAGAAAATTATTTCATTGTAAATTCTCAAATAGGGATTTGGACAATGTCTTTAAACAAAGAATGCTACTGAATTCTGAGAAGAGGCAATTTTGTTAGGGTTTCCATGGTTCTTGCTATGGATCATCTATTATTCTTTGAGAGCACAATATTGACTAAAATGAGTAAGTTTTCTGAAAACTATTCCACTGACTTCAGTATTGTAATATGCATAATCTTTAAATGTGCTCAACATCACATAGGCCACAGAGAGTCAGAGAGAGTGAAGGAGAGTTATCAATCCATCTATGAATTATTGCTTCTGAATTTTAGAAGCTGAAATGGTACATTGTAGATAATACTAAAAGTCACTGCTTTTTTTTTCCACTTTTTGTATTTTGGTATCTAATCAAAGTGTAGTCTACTCAATTCTGGGGTTTTAGTTTCTACAAAGCACAAAACCCTCATTAATTTCAGTGGAAACAGTTACTGTTGACTTCTCATGCAAAGTAAATGCTCATTTGCTGTGTGCATCTCTTGACTCCTTTTTCTTGGAGTAGATATTATTGGCTGACCCTCATATGATAGTAAACTCTGGACCAAATATTTAAACATCTGTCTGAAGGCATTAGCGAGCATAACAATGTTATCCAAACACCTGCGTGACTCAGTTCACACACATCCAGAAAGGAAAAATTTCATGAAAATTTGACTTTTATATTTTTAGAGATGTGTTGACTCTCAGAGCTATAACCATTGCTGAGGAAGTGTGACTGACAGAATCTGTTGTATTCCTTTCAACAGTTAATTTGGCTAAAATTTTAAATGTATTTTTGTAGAATATTGAAGTTGAAGAAGGGTTGAGAAAGGTTAGCTTAGCAGCTCTGTAGGGATAGTACCATTTAGTAAGAGTGATGGCTTCTTCATCCTGGTAAAGCAAGCTTACATTACTTAAAATAGTACAAGGCTAAAAACAGCATGGGGTCATGAATAATGGATGAGGTATTGAGAGACTATCCTAAGCTTTAGGCTGAATAGTACAGGCGCCCTAAGGGACCAGTTACTTGTTCACCATGCAGTTTCACATTGTCGGGGTTGTGCCCCATCCCTCTAGATGGCAGGGTGCACATAAGGAAACTGCCACACATGACTGCCATATATGACTTATACTTGCCCCTTTGTTACAGAACTCTAAATTCTTGGTCCTTCCAGCACATATTGTGTGTTAAGAGAAGATTGTCTTAAAAAAAGTTCTTACAGGGCCAACTAAATGACTGTGGGCAAAGACATTTGCTGCCAACCTTGATGGCCTGAGTTCACTCCCTGGAACCCATATGGTGAAAGGAGAGACTCAGCTCCTACATGTTGTCCCCTCACTTCCATGCATACACTCAGGCACATTACACATATGCAAACTAATAATAATGATGAAAACACCTTAAGAGATCCATACCACACCTACAACTACAACTAACAGAAATTCTTGCTTGTTTCTTATATTTTGTCTGGGTTTACTTAGTTTGGGGTGTCTGGATTAAGTGCTCTGGAGTTGAGAGCACTGTAAAGCTATTAGCTGTGCTTGCCCCTTGCTCCCTATTTCTCCACCATTGGCTATGCTTTTTGGCTACGAGCACCATGAAGTATTGCCTCACTAAATAGTAGGCCCATCAGCAACGGGGTACCTAGGGACTTCTGAGTGACAGCCGTGTCTTGCACAGTCAGCTTTGGAGCCATCATGGAGAAAGGACATCTTTACTGTTCTTATCTCAGATACTCCCCAGGGAGGCCAGCAGATAGGACATTTTCAATCTACACATGCTTAAATGCCAACTACTAGAAAGGTATTCATGTGTGCTTATTTTCAAACAATAATAGCACTAGTAGTTCTTATCTTTGAAGTGTGATTAGCGACCACTGGTATAAGTAATGAAAAAGTTTTAATATCCAAAGAGAAGAGATTATGTATATTTATATTTCCCATAGTCTATGTGTATTTATATTTCCAAAAGTGTCTGAACCTCAAAATCTTTGCAACTAATATGTCATATTTCTTGCTTGATTTAGAAAAATATTTTATTTTTTATTTTATGTATATGAGTATATTGCCTACATGTATGTAAGTGCACCCATGTCATGCAATGCCCACAGAAGTCAGAAGAGGGCATTGAATCCCCTGGAACTGGAGTTACAGATGGTTGTTAGCCATCATGTGGGTGCTGGGAGGAGGACTGAACCCGGGCTCTCCACAAGAGCATCCAGTGCTCTTAACTGCTGAGCCATCTCTCCAGCCCCTCCTGCTGGATTATTCAAATGATGAAAGTGGCCCAAAGGCAGACAAAACACCTTCAGAACATTTCCTGACAGGTAATGATTAAGGGCACTGGTATGAAGTTACCACGTCCTTTGTTACCGTCAGTGTGAAGATCAGGCTTTCCCACCCTGGGCTGGCAGATGACTGTGACAGGTTGGTTTTGTTTTGTTTCTCGCTTATCCTTGGTCTTTAGGCTGTGGAGTCTGGCTGACCATGCCTTGATCGCTCGCTGTAACATGGAAGAAGCAGTTCGCAGTGTCTCCTTCAGCCCCGATGGGTCTCAGTTGGCCCTGGGTATGAAGGATGGCTCTTTCATCGTTCTCCGAGTCAGGTACATTCGATACTGAAAATGATACTTTGAAATGGTCTTTTGTTAAAAATTAAGAACTGGTCATAATATATGCTAGCATGTTAGGAAACATGCTTTTAGTCTTTCAAATAGGAATACTACCACCTTCAATCCTGTACCTATAATTCTAAAGTCCAAACACTGAAAGTCCAAATGTCTTTGGTAAACTATTTAGAGGTAGAGCCTAACTCAGTGAACTGATGTCAGACTGTTTATAGTTTCTCAGTCTCTTAGTAAGCACAGTATGTTGTGTGATTGCTACAAAAATACTGTTTCATGCAAAGTGCTACCTCAGCTGCTATATGGAGAGGTTCTAAAACACATTGTATACGAACCTTCCAAAAACTGAATGAATTCCCAAGCACATCCTATCCCAAGGGCTTCAGATAGGAGGTTGTGGTCTTTGTAGTTAAACCAAGAAAAGAAGAAAGAACAAAGCAACATCCAACAGCACCAGATTTTTATAAGTGAACTTGAATAAAATCTTTCTTGTGCATGTAATTGATACTGAAATGGGGTATTTCCTACTTGTTGATATTCTGTATTATTTTTACTGGACAAAAAGTATGACTCACCTTTGTAACTCTTCCGAATGCATTAGTCATTCTCTTGGCTAACACATTTTGTGACTGTAGAAAAGAAATGCGGCTGTAAATTAAATACTGCTGTTTTATATGGAGAGAAATGCTGTACAGTGTTGAAGAGTGCCCTTGGCACAATTACACTAAATTCTCATTGCCACCCACACACAACTCATTACCAAATTAGTGGACAACCTTTCCCTTCTCTGCTGAGTGATTTGTGATCAGATAGCTAATTGCCAGATTTCTTTTCTAACAGAAGTCCCAAGCCCAAACAAAACAAATCTCTCCAGCTGTTTTACAGCATCATAGCACAAAGTAGGTGGTAACAGGTATCGGCATTATTACATGGAAGCAAATACTTGTTACTCTTGATGCATTCGGTTTATCTTGGAGTTGATGAAGCCATCTTCACTGGCTCTGGGGACCTGTAAATCATAATCTTGTCTTCAAGTAAGAAGGAAAAAGCAACCTCAGTGAACTTTCAAATATGAGCAGAAAGTCTTAAAAGAACCTGAACTAAGGTACTACATAAGCTGCCATGAGGGAAATCCAATCAACAATCCTACCCTAAAGCCTATGAACTATAACAACGGCCTGCCCAGCAAATAATCTCTATTGGTGCACTTTTATCTTGGGGGTAATCAGCAGCTGCCTAGTTGGACTCAATTGCATTATTAAAAATCTTTAATTCTAATTTTTAATAAAAAATTAAAAATATATAGTTGAACGTGAAAGCAAATATTCTTTGTGTTAGTTTTTTATATTTACTTTGAGAGTCCAATATTATTTCAAATGTTAATTTTAATTTTTATAAAGACCATAATTTCATAAATACCTCAAATCTTTCTTCAGAAGTTAACCTTTTGGTTCCTATAGGGTTTCTCTCTCTCTTTTTTTTTTTTCCTGACACTTTTTTTTTGTCTTTTTGAAGCAGGATCTCCTGTAGCCTCAGCTGGCCTGGAGCTCCCTATGTAGATGAGGCTGGCCTCGAACTCACAAAGATCCACCAGCCTCTGCCTTCAAAGTGATGGGATTAAAGGCGCGCACCACCAGGCCTGGCTTTTTCTGACACATTTTAAAACAAGACTGGTTTTCTGTTTCTACATTTCCTGTTTATCACTTTGTTTTGGATTCTTACAGAGATATGACAGAAGTGGTTCATATCAAAGATAGAAAAGAAGTCATTCATGAAATGAAATTCTCTCCAGACGGTTCTTACCTTGCAGTAGGATCCAATGATGGCCCCGTAGATGTCTACGCTGTCGCCCAGCGGTATAAGAAAATAGGCGAATGCAACAAGTCCCTCAGTTTCATTACGCACATCGACTGGTCTTTGGATAGTAAATACTTACAAACTAATGATGGTGCAGGAGAACGACTGTTCTACAAAATGCCATGTAAGTCATGTGTAGTCACAGGATGCTCAGGAAAAGCAAAACTGAACCACATGAGGAAAATGTAAGAGAATGTTCCATGACCTTAGGGTAAGAATGTTTTCAGAAACAAGATCCCTGAATCACAGACCCTCAGAGAAAATGAGTTGAATCACATTAAATATTTTTAAAAGGGAAAATATGAATACGACTTACTGACAAAGCATAGAGCAGGCATCAACACTTGTGAATGCTATAATGGATGGTGTCTCTAGAGCAACAGTGAGGTACCGTTTCATGTCATTTAAACTAGCAGAAGTCTGTCACTATGATGAAAAGAGGGAAAACAGGAACTGTGAACACTGCTGCTGGGCACATGCAGAAAGACACATGCATAAAAATGTTTACTGTGGCAGTGGTTGTAGAAACCAAAAATAAGGCCCAATTCCTAATTATCCACATGAAGAGACTGTAATCAATGTGGGTAGTCATATAAGGGAATACTATAAAGAACTTACTAGAACAACTTGTATCAATATGGAGGGATCTCAAAAATACAATGCTGGGGGGCTGGAGAAATGGCTCAGTGGTTAAGAGCACCGGCTGCTCTTGTAGAGGACCAGGGTTCAGTTCCCAGCACCCACATGGTGGCTAACAACCTTCTGTAACTCCAGTTCCAGGAGAGTTCACACCCTCTTCTGGCCTTTGTGGTGCATTGCATGCATGTGATGCACTTGCGCACATTCAGACCAAACCCTAACATACATAAATAAAATTTTAAAAGTATAATGCTGAACAAATCAAAGTTTCAGGATGATATGTATAATGCATGATCATTAATATAAAATTTCGGACACTAAAACAAATTCATTATATTACTTATAACCACTTACATACATAGAAATATTCTTTGATAACATTCAATTTAGGGCATTGGTTACCACTAAGGAAAGAAAAAGAAATGAGATGGTGGAGGAGTGTCCAGTGGATTTTAGTAAACTATATTTTCTTAAAATTTTGTAATGCTGAGTATGGTGGCACACACCTTTAATCCCAGCAACTGAGAGGCAGTGAGTTCCAGGCCATCTGGGGCTAGAGGGAGACCCTGTCTCAACAAAACAAACAAAACAAAACAAAACACAAAACAACTAAAAAACAGACAAAACTATGATAATGGGGCCAGTGAGATGGCTTAGCAGGTAAAGGCCCATGAGTTTGATCCCTGGAACCCACATAGAAGTGATAGGAGAGAACTGATTCCAGAAAGTTGTCCTCTGTTCTCCATATGCATACACACATGGACACGTGCATACACACATACACAGACACATAATTATAATAATCAATGGATTTTTAAAAATTCTGTGGTAAAGATGGATATTTATTGAAGCTAGGCTATACACAAACTTGATCTTTATAGTACTCTGTAATCTATATAATTGAAATATTTTATAACTTTCAGAAATAGAGACACTCTGAAATAGTTGTTCAGCAAACTCCCAAGATCTTGGAAGTTCATTATCCAGGTCTTCTACTTTCTGTGCCATCCCTTCTTCCATCTTTGATCCTGCTCTTTGTCAGTTTCATTGTTCATTAATGCATCTCTCAACGGTTGAGTAAATAAATGGCCAGTTTGCACCTTGGTCATATCTCTGTTAGCGTCTTACATGTCCAGTTCTACAGCAGGATTAGAGATGAGCGAACATGAACTGTGCGCATAATCTGTGACTTCTGCCTTCCAGGCAGCCGCAGTACCGCCATCCCAGTACCAGCCAGGTCTCTGTGGCAAAGCTTTTCATATTTACCTTGAAGGCCCAAGATACTGTTTCAAATGTTTGATTTTTATAAACTGGCTATAAATGATAAATATTTCATATCGTTCTTCAAAAATTAATCTTCCAGTTCCTAAGTAGTTTCTCGTTTCATTCAGACACATACATTGGGTTTAGGTATGTGAGCATTACAAAAACAAGTTTCTGCTGGAATACAAAAGGTGCAGAAGAGTCTACTGAGCCTTTAGAAAGGGTGAGCAGGAGGGTTAGAGACGGCCTCTGAGACTAGCTTAGAATCTGGATGCAGCCAACAGCTGAGTCCTTAGGGATCTGAGGCTCGGTTGTCCTTCACTGTGCTGGCTTTAGACTCAGATCTGCTAATCAGGATTGGCTTGTTTGATGAAATGTAGCTTTTTCAATCCCAGTGAGCAGAAGTCTTAATTGTGCCCACATTTGAACTTGTATGAGACTCAATTGACTTATATAATACCAATTTAGTTTGTAAGACTAAAATGTCATACATAAAATAAGGATTTCTGCCAGGTGGTGGAGGATGCCTTTAATCCCAGCACTTGGGAGGCAGAGGCAGGCAGATCTCTGAGTTCAAGACCAGCCTGGTCAAAATAGTGAGTTCCAGGCAGCTGGGGCTACAGGGAGACCCTGTCTCAAAAAGCCAAAATAATATTTTTTTCTAATAAAACACGATGTAGCATATAACTTTGTCTCTGCTTTACCAGATTCATCAGTGCACCAATACTAGGTGTTTATTTCTTTGCTCCTTTATTTTGTTTATTATTACTTCATACATAGTTTTTCCATGTGTGGAAACACCTGGAACACATTTGTCATTTGCAGTAGGATAACATCCTGTTCAGCAATGAGACCATAACTCACTTTATCATTTTGTTATTGGACACTCGGCTTATTTCCAGTTTATTTGCTTGTCCAGATGGTGCAGCTCCAAATACCATTTTGTTTCTCTTCTGAGTTACTGCTTGAGATTGTACTCTCCAAAACAGGAGCACTGAGCTACAGATGTTCCAACAATACACTCTCTGATTCTATGGTCCTTTAAATTCATTTTTCTAGAATACTACTGTAGTCCAGAATTTTGGAATGCCAGTTTGACAAGGCATCTATACTTTTCAATTCTTTATTAGAAAATCTATGCTTAGGGCTGGAGAGATGGCTCAGTGGTTAAGAATACTGACTGCACTTGCAGAAGACCTGATTCAGTTCCCAGCACCCATGTGGAGGCTAACAGCCATCTCTAATTCCAGTTCCAAGGGATCTGCCACCCTCTTCTGGCCTCTGAGGGTGCCAGGCACACATGTAGTGTATATACATATGTGCAGACATTCACACGTACATAATTTTTTAAATGCTTTTTTATTCTGAGTCTTTTTGAGATAGGGTCTCCCTTTAACCCCAGATGGCCCTGAACTTACTATGTAGACCAGGCTGGCCTCAATCTCACAGAGATCTGCCTGCCTCTGCCTCCCTGTGCTGAGATTAAAGATATGTGCCACCATTCTCAGTTTAAAATATTACTTATTTTGATTAGACAAACATCAGGAAATATGCTTAATTGTATTTATTTTGACTTTTGAAATGGTATATAGCTAAATATTTCCCCAACATTTCTTTTTGTTGTGTTTTGCATGTGTTCTCTATGGACCTCACTAATTTGCTACTAGTAGAAATGGGGATGACAGCTAACAGTCATCTGTAACTCCAGTTCCAGGGTATCTGATACCCTCTTCTGACCTCCATGGGCATTTCAGGACACAGGTGTTTTTATATGCATGCAGGCCTTTACACTCATACACATAAAATAAAAATAATAAAATATTTTTAAAAATAAAAAGAAATGGCGATTGAGCCATATGTTGGAGAACCAACCTGGAACAGTTGTTAGAACTATTTCCCCTGACTAGTTACACTTATTTCATCATAATTCTGTGGATTCAGTGCCTAGGACTTAACTAATAAAATGCATTTTAAAATTTGTAGAGCCTAAATTTTTCTTGAAAAATGACTTGTGGGCTAGTGAAACGGCACTTGCTGCTACGACTAATGACCTGACGGGGCTGGAGAAAAAGGGCTCAGCAGTTAAGAGCACTGGATGTTCTTGCAGAGGACCAGGGTTCAGTGTCTAGCACCCACATGGTGGCTAGCAACCATCTGCAATTCCAGTTCCAGGGAATCTGACACCCTCTTCTGGCCTCCATGGGCATTGCTTGTGTGTGGTATACTTATATACATGCAGACAAAACACTTATACACATAAAATAAAAATTAATTAATTAATAAAAAAGACTTAATGACCTGAGTTCAGTCTCTGGAGCCCACATAGTAGAAGGAAAGAACTGACTTCTGCAAGTTGTCTTCTGTCTTACACATACTAAGTAATAAATGTAACAAACTTAAAAGATCACTTGCAGTGATCCTTAAACTATGAAAACTAAAGTTCAGAATAAGCTTAGCCAAAGTTCTTAAGGCCTACCAAGATACTGATGATTCCATGTGATAATACATAATTTAATGATGTCATACAAATATACAAACTGTATATACCTGACTACAGGTAATTAAGGTCAAGTAAATATTAGTAACTTGGGACATTACATCTAGTAGAATAATCATTTTCTAGTCTTCTTATATCTATTTCTATATTTTTTTGATCTTTTTGAGGCAGGGTCCCAAAGCTGTCCTGGAGCTTGCTATGTAGACCGGGCTGGCCTCCAGGTCACAAAGATACACCTGCCTCTGCCTCCCAGAGCACTGGGACTAAAGGCATGTGCCGCCATGTATAGCCTTTTCTCCTTGTATCTATATTTTGAACAGAAGTTTTCTCCCTCCCTTAAAAAAAAGTCATTGGGTAAAGAGATTAGAACTATAGCTCTTTTGATTTATAAGTTTTTTAAAATGAAGGTTTTAGACACTGTAAGAAAAGAAAAATAATTAAAATAAATTAGAATATGCTATATATGTAAATATGACATTATAATGACTATTTTCAGCTGGGAAGCCTTTAACAAGTAAGGAAGAAATCAAAGGGATTCCCTGGGCCTCCTGGACCTGTGTGAAAGGCCCTGAAGTGAATGGAATTTGGCCCAAATACTCTGAGGTTATTGACATCAACTCAGTAGATGCAAATTATAACAGCTCAGTGCTAGTGTCCGGAGATGATTTTGGACTGGTCAAATTGTTTAAATTTCCTTGTCTCAAAAAAGGTAAGACCAAAGAGATGTTTTGTTGGATAAAGATTTACTCTCTTCTGTATATGCAGTATAATTAAAACTGGTTTTCTTGGTATCTCTTCAGCAGAGTCTTCGTATTCTCTTGTATATACTCAGATGTGTTCTTCAACTATTTATGTAGAATGCAATGTTGAGGTTTTCTATCTTTGCCGTCCTAAAATATGGTTTTGTGATTTTAAGTCAGAATTTGTTAGTAGAGTTAATATTTTGTGATTCACCAGCTTTGTGTTTCACATTTCCAAGCATTCATATTTTACTTACCTTTATGAGAATAAATATTCAAAATTTATATCCCATTTTTAGGTTCTGTTAAGATCTCATCATTAAACTTTTTTGTGCTTCCCAGCTACTTGTGCTTATCCATGGAAAAGCTAAGTAGGTCTTCTTCAACACAATTAAAAGTGGTGGTTCTGCAACTTGTGGATACCTTATCATAAGACTGATTTTGCAAACCAAATTTTCAAGACTGTAGTAAGTGAACTTTTGAGAGAGAGTTCGATTCAAAACAACTTTCTTGCAGTCAGGTTTTCTTGTTTTTGTTTGGAATTGTCACTCTGTGTGACACCTTTAGGTTTTGAAGACTGATTGAATTGACCATATAATGATCTTGTTCTTCCTTTGTATGTTTAGAGAGAGCCCAAATATGGGCTCTCCTGACTCCTCTACTGCACCCTGAAAGCATGATCTGAGGAAAGTCATCTGCAGAGACGCGCTGCTACCTGGAAACTTTCACTTGAATGATGGTTTTTTTTTTTTTTTGTCTTTTTGAAGCAGAGTCTCTCTGTAGCCCCAGCTGTCTTGGAACTCACTATGTAGACCAGGCTGGCCTTGAACTCACAGAGATCTGCCTGCCTCTGCCTCCTAAGTGCTGGGACTACAGGCGTGCACCACCACGCCTGGCTCACTCGAATGATTTTTAAATTAAGCAAGGAAAGGGATTGAAAAATGTAATCAGAAAGTCATTTTCAGCTAGCTGGCAGTTTTGAAGCAGTGACAATTACATTATAAGACGGAACATAAAATGCATAGCAAAAACACCATGACTTAGACTTGACAGAGTGGCCATCAGCCTAAAATGCACAAAATTACTTCAGTGTGCCAAATTCAAATTCCCTCTCTGTCTGCTCAATGGACGTTTTGGGTAATAGGGCATAACTTGTTGAAATTAACATGCATCTGGAGGGGATGTTGGGTAAGTTGGAAGGTATCTGGGAATTCAGAATTCAGAAAAGTCCCATAAGGTCAGAAGCAATTTACTGGTCACCAGTATACTGACTCAAGAGTAATGTGAACTCAATGAGAGTTGGTATCTTCTGTGTACTTTGAAACTTTGTGATGTGGATGTGAGTCTGGAAGTATGGATCTCTTTTAGAGTTGGGGAGTGTGTGTGTGTGTGTGTGTGTGTGTGTGTGTGTGTAGTGTTGTCTGTCAAGTCACTCATATATGAAGAGTGCACAAAGTACACAGAGGGCCACTGAGTGAATGAGGACAGATGGACAGCAGGTTGACATGATAATAGTGACTCCCCCTCTTTCCCTAGCTATCTGTCCAGATGTCCAGTCCTCATAGCAAACTGACTTCTACCTTGTATGACATACAGTTTATAAATCTTGTAATTTTACCTGAGACTTTCAATCTTTTGTGCCCAAACTGTTGGTGTGAAGTTAATACAATTGTGTGGGACTCTTGGTATGAATAACAGTTGATGTAACTTGTCTCTCTGAACTAGGATATCAGTGGCAAATGGTCCCAAGTTGTGAACTTGAAGAAAGATGGTGTATTAGTTACTTGTCTGTTGCTGTGATAGAAACACTGACCAAAGCAACTTATAGAAGGAAGAATTTGTTTAGCTTATGGTTCAGAGGGGGCACGAGTCCATCATGTTGGGGAGGCATGGTTGCAGAGGTGACTGGAGGAGGAGCAGAAACTAAGCTCTCACATCTTCAAGCAGGCACAGGAGGCAAAAGAGCAACTTGAGATCCAGCAAGGCTCAAGAACTCTTTAAGCCCAACCCCAGTGACATGTTTCCTCCAGCACAGTCATACCTTTTAAGACCTCCCAAAACAGTGCGACCAACTGGGGACAGAAATGTCCAAATACTTGGAGCCTATGGGGGACATTCCGATTCAAACCACCACAGATGGATATGTGCAGAGGCTGATGACCATGAGCAAGTGTGGGGGACTGAACAGACATGATAGTTTTCCATTGTGACCAAATAGAACTCAGCCAAACCAATTTGGAATTATACATATGTATTTATTCTGTTGCATAGTAATTAGACATAAGTATCCTACAGTTAATAAACATTACTGAAATGTTATTTTGACACAGCTAAAGCAATTTATTTTTCTTATTTTGACAGTTTTCAAATCCTTGAAAATTACAACTGACTTTTCGCAAGTCCAAGTAGACCACATCCTGTGTGACTGCCTCACAGTCACAGGGCAGAGGGGAAATCCAAAGCCTTGCTCACTCTCACGTCTCACCATCCTTACTCCAAGGGGATGTTAAAGGCTGGGGCTCATGTTTGAACCATGTGCTCTCATTCTTTAAGCCTTTTCACACATGGGCTCACACACAGAGGCCTGGGATAACTACTTCTGACAAGTGTCCTGGGTGTTGTGAACTTGAGCTATAGAAACCTGAGACTGTGGAGGGGGAGGAGTTGACCTTCAGCACAGCAGCACAGAAAGACTGGAGCACAGAGAATGGAAAGAGGATAATACCCACGAGGTTAGAGAGGACCAAAGGGCCTGTAGTGTAAAGAGCCTTGTCGCTGCTGCCCGAAACTTGGGTCTTGTGTTTGTGCAGTAAAAAACTGCTGAGGTTATAAATGGGGAAGTGACACGACCAGTTTAAGTCTTTGAAAGATCACTTTGATGCTGTGTGAAATAGGTTTAGGAAGAGTTTGCCTAAGAGATGATGTGGCTAGGAACAGGTGCCAAGATAAATATTTGGTTTAGATAGTTTTCAGGTAATACTGAAGCTTTCATTGCTAGACTAGATGTGGCAATAGAGGCAGCAAAAAAAAACGGAAAAAAAAAAAAAAAAAAAAAAAAAAAAAAAAAAGATCATTGATGATGGCTCCTAACTTTGAGGTCTGAGCAGTGGGGTAGAAGGTGGCACTGTGTACAGAGATGGGAAAATGAGGAAAGGCAGCTTATGTGGGGTAAGAGGAGGAGGAGAAGGGAGTCCCTCAGTCTGTCTTGTCCATGGCAAGTTCAAGGCCTGTTAGACACCCAAGCAGACACAGCACATAGGCTATTGGCACTCTATGGAGAGTTCAAGGCTGGAGATGACCATTTAGCAGTCATGGGGCACGTGGAAAGTTTCTGAAACCATGAAGATGTCAGTAGAGAAGAGATCAAGGCTGAGACCCAAGTCCTCCTTATGGTACAAAATCTTAATCACTATGCCAAGGAAAGCTTTAGGACATCCCTCTGAGGTGCCTTATTTGATAAATGTGTTAAGTGCCTTGCTAGAATGTGAAAATACACCAATACAGAAAGCACAAATACCTGTTATCATGGAGCCTTCATTCTACTGTGGGAAAAGGGTGAATACAAAACAATAAATACGTCTGGCGGTAAGAAATGCTGTCAAGAGAAATAAAGCAGGCGATAGGAGTAGAGCATGCTGGGCAGAAGAGCATAGTGTTACTGTCTCTAATAATGTGATCAAAGAGGGGCTCACTGTTGGGGTTTCATTTGGTAGAAACATGAAGGAATGAAGGAAGCAGACATTCAGGTATCCAGGGAAAGCATATTCCAGGGAGACTACAGCAAATGTGAGACCTGCAGGCAGAGAGTATCTGGCATGCTTGAAGATGTGCAAAGGGACCAGTGTGCCTGAAGCAGACCAGGCAAGGAAGAGAGTGCAGAGCATAAGATGAGAACAGCAAGGGCTAATTATCAGTGATGTGCTTTCTCGGGGTCAGGAACTAGCCTTTCGAAGCCCATCAGCTATCTACTGCTGCATAGCAAGTGTACCTCCAAATTTAGAAAACATTTCCGATCTCTGGTTTTTTGGGGGACAGTGGCGGGTGGGGGATAAGGGATTAGACAGGAGCATGTCTGTGGCCAATAGGCAGCCTAGCTATGTGTTTCTATTTCAAGATCTCTCATAAGGTTATAGTCATCTGAGGCTAGACTGAGGCCAGGTTTGCTTCTTCTCATTAGCATGGCTCTCAACTGAAGGCCCCAGTTTCCTGCTTACTAACTTCTCCATAGACCGAGTGTCCTTAGGATGTAGCATGGCCCAGTCTACCAAGAATGACTGTAATGGCTTCTGAGTCTTCTTTGATGCCACACACCTTCTCTTTTGCCACTTTTATTTGAACTCTACTCATTTTTATTTATATCAAGGAATCCTTAGATGTTTTCTTATACTACCTAAGAGACAGGTTAAATAATCTCTGTGCAGGAAAAAAGATAGCCCAACGTCTTAGGATCTACAGAGACTTGGGAAGATTGTTAAACTCTTAGCCAGCATTTCCAGATCCTAGCTGGAATCTGTCACTATCACCAACATTGATTTAGATGACACTTGGAAATAGGCAGCTTTGCTTCTGAGATCCACTGTGCTTTTTCTCTGCATGGCAGATTCCCATTAGTCGTTTTTGTTGAGGCCTAGCTGCCAGACATGCCCGTGAGAAAGAAAAAGGTAGTCGTTTTCACCTTGGTGTATGTGGAAATCATTACATTTCCAGTGGGTATTTGAATTTTAAACCTGTGATAGCTGATGGGGCTGGAGAGATGCTCAGTGGTTAAGAACACTGATTGTTCTTGCAGAAGACCTGGGTTTGAATCCCAGCACCCACATGGCAGCTAACAACTGTCTGTAACTCCAGTTCCAGGGGATCCGACGACCTCTTCTGTCCTCCGCAGCCATTGCACGACATGGGTGCACTTATCTACATGTAGGCAATACATGCACACACATAAAATAAAAATAATAAATAAATTTTTTAAAAACCTGTGATAGTTGAACAGATGGCTTATATCCTCCTCTGACAGGAATTTTATTGAGAGGAATTAATTGGAAGATGCAGAACTGTTTTAAACATAGAGATGACTAGTTTGTTGACCTGTGAAATGCCCTGTAATCTGTGGAGTTGTAGGCCTCTGTATGGTGAAATGGACCACGAGTACCTTTACTTTGCTGTGTTCTAAGCATACACAGAAACTTTATTGTAGCAGTTCAACCATAGATAGAGCTTTCAGTAGCTTTTATTACTGCCTTCACTGCCTGGGGCTGGTGTTTGCTGGGTAAAACAATTTAAGGGAAGGAGAAAAATATCTTTTCTCGTGACTCTGCATTCTCAGGACTCCAAATAATAACTCGTCTCTAATTTTCATAGAATTATTTTTGTTCCTTGTCTGTATAAAATTGCCTGTTTTCTTGGGAGGCAGAGGCAGGCAGATCTCTGAGTTCAAGGCCAGCCTGGTCTACATAGTAAGTTCCAGGCCAGCTGGGGCTACAGAGAGACCCTGTCTCAAAAAAGACCAAAAAAAAATTGCCTGCTTTATCTCTCATTTAAATTAAGGATGGGTAACATATTAATTTTTTATCATTTAGTTTTGGTATCATTGAAACTAAGAATTATTTGGAGCAGGTTCAGATGTGCCTTTAGCTATGGAGATTAAATTATTATTATTTGAGAAAGGGTCTTACTATGTAGTACTAGCTGGCCTGGAACTCAATATAGGGACCAGACTGGCCTCAGACTCAAAGAGAGCTGGCTGCCTCTGCCTCCTGAGTACTAGGATTAAAGGTGTGTACCACCATACCCAACTGGAGCTTAAATTTTAAGAACCCCTCCGGAGATTAATGCATAATGGAATAATTGGGATATCTTTTGAAGTACTTGCTTATTTATTTATTATAATATGTAAGACTAAAAATGCTTTTCTGATATGTTTACATTTTCAATTTGATGTGACTAGGAATATGATTTCTTTTTAACCAGTGAATTTTTTTTTGATATAACTAATCTCAAAATGCCTTTTCAGGAGCCAAATTTAGAAAGTATGTTGGCCATTCTGCACATGTCACAAACGTTCGCTGGTCCCATGACTTCCAGTGGGTGTTAAGCACAGGAGGAGCTGACCATTCCGTTTTTCAGTGGAGGTTTATTCCGGAAGGTGTCAGTGACAGCATACTGGAAACCACACCCCAGGGTAAAACTGGTCATAACTTTTCAATGTCTCTTTTTCTATAAACACTTCAAGGAATGTTCTAATATCTATTCTGGAGCTAAACAGCTAATGCAGTTTTGAAAAATCTATTCATATAATAAATTTTAAGAATTAAAACTTCAGAGATCAATATAGATTAGTTAAATAATTGTCTTTGAAGAATTTTGCTTATACCAAATGCAGGCTGAAGATTTAAGGTTTAAAATAGAACCTTTGAAGATAACATGTATTTCTGCCTCTTAGGAAGACCAAAGCAGACAGTGGGCCTGCTCCATCAGCATGTGAAGTGACAGGGCAACTTTAGGAATACAAGTTACTTCCAGAAAGGAGTGTGGTGGTGCATGCTTTTAATCCCAGCACTTGGGAGGCAGAGGCAGGCAGATCTTTATGAGATTGAGGCCAGTCTGGTCTATATAGTGAGTTCCAGGCCAAGTGGGGCTACAGGGAGACCCTGTCTCAAAAAACAAAAACAGAAAGGAATTCAGAAAATGGTTCACAGTGGGAGGCCAGGTGATCCAATTCAATGGGTAGAATCATTGAGATGTCAGTAGAAATAAGTAGGTCATAAAGTGAACAGTAATTTGAGTAGACATGTTTCATGAGATGATCTGTAGTGGTCTTGACCATAGCAATTTCCAGTGTTTGGTGGGCTTGTTGAAAAGCTGAGGGTTGGCCAGGGAGGAAGAAACTACTTGTAATATTCTTCTGCTATTTAGTATCAGCATTTTTTCTTGCTTCTTGTGGGTTACATTTCTGCAGAAGGTGGCACAGATTCCTACAGTGAAGAATCTGACTCAGATTTGTCTGATGTTCCTGAACTGGACTCTGATATCGAGCAAGAAACTCAAATCAATTACGATCGTCAGGTCAGTATAGATAGAACAAGAGCCTGGATCCCATTGGATTTGAACATTGCCTTGAAAATAGCTGATACTTACACAGAAGGTTAACAACAAAACTTCTACCAGATCACTAAAGAAAATTAAACCGTAGATGGTAGTTTCAGTTTCCAAACTGAACCCTGAACTTTTGGGGTTTTTGATGTAAAGTTTAAAAATATATATACTTGCAGCTGGGTGTGGTGGCACACACCTTTAATCCCAGCACTCCGGAGCAGTGGCAGGTGGATCTCTGTGAGATCAAGGCCAGCCTGGTCTACATAAGGAGTTCCAGGCCACCTGGGAGACCCTGTCTCAAAAAGACAAATATACATATATACATATATATATACATACACACTTGCATAATTTCTATTTTTGCAAAAATATGTGTGTAACATACACAGTTGTTAATTATTTCAGAAAATCATAAAAGTTTGTATTTAGAATGGGTACCTCCCAGGAGTGGTAGTCTACATGGGAATGTTACCTTCATTTCTCTCTCAACTCAAGGCAGCCTTTATCTGTTTATTTAAAGTAAGCCCAATTACAATGTGCATTCTCTCTCCAGTCAGAACTCACTTCTAGTATAAAAGTTTGTTAATTTGATCCTTTTTTTCCTGAAGTTAGCATCTTATTTTAACAATTGTTAGGAACTATGAAACCATTGCTCCAGAAGACTCCAGATACACACCACTTTGCCAGGCGGTAACCATAAATGTTCCATTTCTTCCCTGTCCTTTTTACAGTTGACATGTGTATGTAGGTGTGTGAAACAGGATCTGTACATGAATGTGGAGTGAATAAGACATCAGATCCCAGATACGTCAGCTGTCAGTACTGTCCAGGGAGATGTATCAGATAGACCTATGGCAGCTTCCACACACTTTGCGTGCCACATTTAAACCCTGAGGGTTAAGTAACTTGCCTCTTCCATGTGGTTGCCATGTTAAGATAAGAATGCTGATCTAGTCTTCTCTCCACATTCTTCTTGGTTTGACTCCATGTAAGCACCAAATTACAGCTTTTGAGGTCATTGTATATTTTTTTCTTTATATAGTCATTACTTACTGATTCAGTGTTTAGAAAATTAGATTAGTACATTGGTAGTACAGCTTGCAGTTTAGGTCAGCATCATGTTAGATCAGCTTGACTGTGTATTGACAAGTGTATTATGCTGCACTAAAAAGGATTTGGAAGGAAACCATTACTGTGAGAATATTATACATATACTAAACAACATACCCAAGGGAAGTGAAACTTAAGCAAAATGGACTTAAGATTTAGGTGGGAATGCCATTTTGTTTAATTGGAAGACTTCTGTTTAATGATGCTAGGAAACAATGAAAAGGCATGATCACACTGAAATCCATGGGCAGCATTGAAATCCATGTCTTGGATGGTCAGTATTAAAATCCTTGCCCCAGATAGGCAGCATTAAAATCCATGTCCTGAATGGGCAGTATTGAAATCCATGCCCAAGACTTGCATATTCTCCATGATGTCACCTTTTAGTGCTTCCATACATACTGATTTACATTTGCAACATTTCCAAGTTATTCCTGAATAAGGATTTTTTTTAATTATTTAATAACCACATGATTAGAAGCATTTCATTACAGCGTTAACATATTCAATAACAATTTCCAGAGCAAAGATGCTTCTCTTTCAAAATTAGCTGTAAATTTTGAGGTTCACAGTTAAATTAATACAGTTATACAATATTGAACTCAGTATAACCCTTATAAGACATAAAATTGAATGAGGTTTTAACTTTTTTTTTAAATTACAACATAGAATAAGTAGATTTAATAAATGTTTATAGCATATTTCATCCAACAGCTGTGGAATATACATTCTTTTCAGCAGTCCAGGTAACTTTTTCTAAAATAAATCATATTTTTTTTATTCTTATTCTTTTATGAAGTTAGTTAAAAATTAATGAACAAGAAATTAAAGAGACTGCGCTGCAATTAAGTTAGAATATTCTAACTGGAAAACAATTACTGTGAAACTATTTACATTCTCATAGAATTATAAACATTTCTCAAGGAATACTTTACAGCACAACTTTTTTTTTTTCATACAGAAGAATTCATTCCAAAGCAATTGACATTGAGACGTTTTCACATGCATTTCTAATCTCTATATGCATGACTATCACTGGTCATAGTCGCCCACCTTCTGAGCTCCTCGGCATCTGAGCATGAATACAAACTCGTCAGATAGACAGACTTCCTCTCCCACTAGAGGCTCCATACTCTGCCATCTCTGTCACTGTCCACTGTGTTGTCAGCACCCTCATCCATTCCCCCCTGTCTGCCCTTCTGGTAAATCTAGTCAGCCAGAGGTCCCTGTTCCAGGAGGGTCAGCTGTTCCTCATCTACGGCAATCCACTGTCAGTATTCCTTTGGATAGAATTGGGGTCTGCTGTTCATTTTTCCTGTAGTATGTTGGCTTACTGTCTGGAAGAGCCTTTATCTATCCTAGCCAACAACTCGACTGAAGGTATCACCTGTCTGGCTTTGCTGTTTGTCGAGTAACTTTTAGTTATGTATATGTATGCTCTTATGATATTATGTTGGCCCCTTTAATCTTTGGTTATACTTCCCTTTTGGGTGTTTAAGGACATACAATTGGACCAGATAAACTGATTTGTTTTTACTCTTGAGGTCGTTAGAGGATTTGTTCCTCAGGGGTCCCATGGGGTTGGGAGGAGCCCCTGGCTCCTTTCTTTTTCCATACATACTGATTTACATTTGCAACATTTCCAAGTTATTCCTGAATAAGGATTTTTATTCTGTTCTATAGATAAGAAATTGAGGCCCATAGGTGTGTGTATTAGTCACTTTTCTGTTGCTGTGATAGAAACACTGACCTAAGCAATTTATAGAAGGAAGAGTTTATTTGAGCTTACAGTTCCAGGGGAATTACAGTCTGTCATGGCAGGGAGGCATGGTGGCTGGGGGTCGCTGGAGCAGGAGCAGCAGAAGCTAAGTTCTCACGTCATCACATAGGCACAGGAAGAAAGAGAGCAACTGGAGATCTGGCAAGGCTTAAGAACTCTCTAAGCCCACCCCCAGTGATGTGTTTCCTCCAAGATAGCCACACCTTCTAAAACCTCCCAAAACAGCACCATCATCTGGGGATAAAATGTCCAAACACTTGGAGCCTATTGGGAACTTTTCATTCAAACCACCATAATGTGATAACTGATCATCTCAGAAGTAGAAATAACCCTAGAATTCAGTGCTCTAAAGTAAATAGTTGATGACTTCCTCAAAACCCTCATGAGTTCAGATGAATAGTCATTATACCTAAAAGTTAGTTCATTATGGGGGCTGGAGAGATGGCTCAGCAGTTAAGAACACTAGCTGTTCTTGTAGAGGACCCAGGTTCAATTCCCAGTACACACATGGCACTGACAACTGTCTGTAACTCCAGCTCCAGGGAATCCAATGCACTCTTCTAACCTTCTCAGGCATTATATAACACAGGTGCACTTACATGCATGCACTCATATACATAAAGAAAGCTCATTATATCAAAAATAAAACAGTAATCTTCTGACTTTTTTAAATGGCTATGGTCAAAAGAAATTATTATATTTCATGATATTTTTAGCAATAGTTGGTCAAATAAAAAATTTCCTTCCTGAAGACAAGAAATTACTAATGTATTATATTGTTTTTACTGTGTTAAACTGACATTTGGAGGTGGGAATTGGTTTAGACCTGGTCTCCCTGTAATCCCAAATGGAACTCACTATGTAGACCAGGCTGGTCTTGATCTCACAGAGATCCATCTGCCTCTGCCTCTCAAGTGCTGTGATTAAAAGCATGTGCTACCATGCCCAGCTCAAACTGACAATTTTTGATAGAACATAAAAGCATGGTAAATAACAGGTTTTATTTTTATGTATATTTAAACTGTAGAAAATGCTCTTTCTTCAGCAAACCTTATGTCTTACATTAGACCAACAGAATAAGCTGTGCTCTGTATTTCAGAGTCAGAGCTGTCAAAACCATGAGGCCAGGAAAGGAAGAAAACTCCAAAGAACAATTTTAGGAAAAAATAATGACTCTTGAAATCCCCATTGTACAAATGTCAGAAGCATCAAGAGATTTCTTGTCTTACAGAAATTAAATATAGTCAAGTAATAAATCTGTTTTCTTTCTTATTTACTACTGTATCAACTTTATTTTCCGGATATACTTACCTAAGAAAGTAAATAACAGAGAGATGGCTCGGTGGTTAAGAGCAGTGACTGTTCTTGCAGAGGACCTGGGTTTGAATCCCAGCACCCACATGGCAGCTAACAGTCATCTGTAACTCCAGTTCCAGAGCATCTGATGCCCTCTCTGTCCTCCACAAGCACTACATGACATAGGTGCACTTACACAAGTGTAGGCAGAACACTCATACACATAAAGTAAAAAAAAAAAAAAAAAAGTAAATAAAAACCTCATAAGAAAGTAATAAATCAAGGGGAGAAAGGAAATTATCTTAAATCTCATGCATTTGAAAAATATTTCATGTCAGTTCGGTTCGTTAAGGAAAAGTGCTATCGATCCCATGTTGCATAAACATTATATTGAAGCAATTGACAATTTTCTGACAATGCCAAGTGTGGTGGTTTGAATGAAAATGTCCCCCATAGGCTCCAAGTATTTGGACATTTTGTCCCCAGTTGGTGGCGCTGTTTTGGGAGGTCTTAGAAGGTGTGGCTATCCTGGAGGAAGCACATCACTGGGGGTGGGCTTAGAGAGTTCTTAAGCCTTCCTAGATCTCTGGTCAGTCTCTCTTGCTTCTTGTGCCTGTGTGATGATGTGAGAACTTAGCTTCTGCTGCTCCTGCTCCAGCCACCTCCAGCCACCATGACTCCCTGTCATGATGAACTGTAATTCCCCTGGAACTGTAAGTTCAAATAAACTCTTCCTTCTATAAATTGCTTGGGTCAGTGTTTCTATCACAGTAAGAGAAAAGTGACTAATACACCAAGATACTAACTCGTGTTTGAAGCCTGAAAAAGGATGATTAGCTAAATATTTTTGTTGTGCTCGAAGGTTTACAAAGAAGATCTACCTCAGCTAAAGCAACAAAGTAAAGAGAAAACCCATGCAGTGCCCTTCCTCAAGCGGGACAAGGCTCCTGAGGACAGCTTGAAACTCCAGTTCATTCACGGGTAGGTGGCCCATCCCAGGGACCCTTGCTTCCTTCCTGTCTCTGCCAAGTCTGTCAGTCTCACTGTCAGGCTAAGAAGTCCTTCTTCTAAATGCTCTTCTCCCATCCCTCTGGCTGACATCTTCACTGACTGTCTAGCTTTTGCAGTCCGTGTGCTGTGAACTGGGGGCCTGGTGTTCTTCATGTGGTCCCCTACGGCAGCCACCACTGATGGTCACCATCTGTGTCCTCTGTTCCCAGGCTCTGGTTTCCCAGCCCTCTGTTCTGTTTGCTAGATCCACCCTAGGACAATGTTTACTTCAGACAAGATACAATCAAGATAATTTTGAATTTTGTAAAATTACATATATATTTCAAATTGACACCTAAGTATTTTCAATGTCAGTTTAAATGGTTGAGAAAAATATAAATATATCTGGTGCATTTTAAATACCTCAGCTATTTAGATGTATTCATTAGAACCTAAATGCCTTGTTTCATTCCTATTGTTATCAACTTAAAAATACAATAATAATTATATCATGGGACTATTTCATTACTCATGTTTTTATGTAAGCTTATGTCTATTCTAATTCTCCCATAAAATTTTATCTTTGGGGCTGGAGAGATGACTCAGTGGTTAAGAGCATTGGCTGCTCTTTCTTGTAGAGGACCGGGGTTTGAATCCCAGCACACACATGGAGGCTAACACTTGTCCACAACTCCAGTTCCAGGGACTCCAATGCCCTCTTCTGATCTCTGCAGGCATTACACAGCATGGGTGCACTTACACACATGTAGGCAATACACTCATGCACATAAAATAAAAATAAAATATTAAAAAAAAATAAGTTTGCACACCTTTAATCCCAGCACTTGGGAGGCAGAGGCAGGTGGATCTCTGTGAGTTCGAGGCCAGCCTGGTCTACATAGTGAGTTCCAGGACAGCTGGGGCTACAGGGAGACCCTGTCTCAAAAAGACAAAAAAAAAAAAATTCATGTTTTTAAGGGCTGGAGAGATGGCTCAGCGGTTAAGAACACTGGCTGTTCTTGCAGAAGACTTGGGTTTGAATCCCAGCACCCACATGGCAGCTAACAGCTGTCCGTAACTCTGGTTCCAGGGGATCCAACAGCCTCTTCTGTCCTCTGTGGGCATTACACGACATGGGTGCACTTACCTACATGCAGGCAATACACACATACACATAAAATAAAAATAATAAGGTATTTTTTAAAAATTTCATGTTTTTATTTAAAAAAAAAAGAAGCCTGAAATTCAGTTCAATTTAAATTTTATTTCCTGTAACTTTGGGCTTTGTCTAATATAGTATCCACTAGTGATGCTGGATGACTGAGCACTAGAGGGCCAGTGAGCTGGCCCAGCAGTAAAGAAAGATGCTTGCCTCCAAGCCTGATAACCTGAGTTTAATCTCGATCTTCAATACCTGCGTGGTAGAAAGAGAAAACTGACTCCTACAAGTTGTCCTCTGACCTCCGTGCACACACATACACACAAAGAAGTAAAATGTAATAAAATACTTCTAAAGTAACATGGCTAGTCTGAAATGAGACGTGTAGAGTGTGTAAAATAAACTTCAGTTTTAAAGACATAGCAGAAAAAAAGATGAAATCTCAATGGTTGTCTTCTTCAGTCACTCTCCACATTCTTTTTTGGAGACAGAGTCTCTCACTGAACCTGGGGCTCATTCATTGGCTAGACTGTCTGGACAGCAAGCTCCAGAACCCCATTGCTGGGGTTACAGGGGCATGCCTTAAGAGGAGCACTGAGCACCGTCACACATAGCTTTTTACCTGGGTGCTAGGAATCTGAACTAAGGGGCTCATGCTCGAGCAGCAAGCACTTGACTGACTTAGCCTTCTGCCCAGCCCACAAGGTGGGTTAAAGTTCAGGTATCTCCATTTATATAGTTTACTGCTAGCATGTAGTAGAGCTTAGCAGGGAGTCTATTCCCACTTTTCCTTTATATATATATAAGCATTTAATTTGCTCTCATAAATAGGTAAGAACAGAATTCCAATGTTTTTCAGTTTCCTAAACTCACCCTGCATCATAGGCTTTATTCAATAAAGTCTCTGTTAAGCAAGCAGCTAGAGATCACTTGATTTACAAAAGGATTTATTAGCCATTAAGAGTTATTCACTTGTATTTGTTCTTAATTCTGTGTATATGTGTGTCTGAGTTTGAGTATGTGCATGTGAGTACAGGTGCTGGTGGAGGCCAGAAGTATCATACGCCCCTGCAGCTGGAGTTATGGATGGTTGCAGATGGTTGTGAACTGATCTTGGGTCCTCTGCAAGAGCAGGACCATTGAGCCACTCACTGAGCCTTCTCCCCAGCCCTCACTTGTATTTTGAATTGTTTTGTTTTGTCACCCTGAAGGTGCCATGCCTCAAAGTAATAAACCAGATGGAAGAGATGGGGAAGGCAAGCCTAAGCCTCATCCCAGGGCTGTCTAAAGGAGGATTGATTTTATTTATGTGTTTGTTTACTGTTTATTTGTTTATTCATTTGGCATTTTGAGACAGGATCTTGTATTGCCCAGGCTAGCCTGGAACTTGCTATATATCTGAGGATGACCTTGAACTCATCTTCCTTGCCTCCACCTCCCGAGTGCTGGGTTGCACTGCCACTCCCTGAATAACTGCTTTTTAACAAAGATTATAGACTGTAGTTGAGGGTCTGAAAACAGATTCTGTGAAAATAGCCAGTACCCATGTGCCACTACTTGCTTGAGTTCATTACAACATACATGCTTTGCGTCTGACAACTCCTGCTCTTTTCATTTGCTGTTCCTTCAACCGCTATGTTTCTTGGACCTGTGCTTCAGTTATAGAGGCTACGACTGTAGGAACAACCTGTTCTACACACAAGCTGGAGAAGTGGTGTACCACATTGCTGCAGTTGCTGTTGTGTACAACAGGCAACAACACACCCAGAGGCTGTACCTGGGGCACGATGATGACATTCTCAGCCTGACCATCCATCCAGTGAAAGACTACGTGGCCACTGGGCAGGTGAGTGTCTCTCCCCTATGACCAGAGCTTAGCAAAAGAGAGGGGATATTTCATTTTGAATCCAGTTTACCTAGAACTAAAAAAAAAATATATAGTTGGTAGAAATAAATATGAGGCAGAAAGCTGAAGATTCTGAGAACAATGGATCATTCTATAATGGTGGGAGAATCAGCCAATTTGAGTTTGAGGGAGTCTCTTTTATATATATTATATATTTTTTATGAACATTTTTATATATTTGCTCATAATGTATATTTAAATTTTAGAACATGCTATATTTTTATTGTAACATCTAGGTTACGTCATTTTTGTAAAATTTAAAACTATGAGAATTTGGGGTCATTTAGTTTAGCTTGGAAAAAAACTAAATTTTACATGAATAGTTTGCGTGCATGTGGAGGTTGACATTGGGTGTCTTCCTTAATCTCTCTCCATCTTATTTTTTGAAACAAGGTCTCTGACTGAACCTGGAGCTCACGATTTGACTAGACTGACTAACCACAAGCCCAGATACCCTCCTGTTCCCACCTACCCAGTGCTTACAGGCTCACACTGCTGTGCCTGAATCTTTTTTTTTTTTTTTAAAGTATGGGTGCTAGGAATCAAACCCAAGTCCTCAAGCTACACAGCAAGCAGTTGACCGACTGAGCTGTCTCCCCAGCCCAGTAGTTTTTGAAGTGCCTAAACTTTGAATCGAGTCTGTAATTGAAAAGTTGCCCCAAATCAAGACCCTCTATTTGTCTGTTCATTTTGGAATAGAGAAGGGAGAACAGAAACACCAATTTAGTAAAAAAAAGTTTCAATTAAATTCATTTTTGAATCTATATTTTGAATTCATATTTTACTGGGAAAATGGTAAATTCACCAAAGAATTTTCAATTTCTGCTTTCTCAAATATGTGTATTTCTTTTTTTTTTTTTGGTTTTTATCACAGATTTTTAAAAAAGTTTTATGTGTATGGGTTTTTTATTTGCATGTCTGTAAGTGCACCATGTTCATGCAGTGCCCTCAGAGACCAGAAGAGGGCACCAGAGACCCTCGAACTGGAGTTACAAATTGTTGTTAGCCACCATGTTGGTGCTGGGAACCAAACCCTGGTCCTCCACAAGAGCAGCCAGTGCTCTTAACTGCTGATGTATTTCTCCAGCCCCTATCACAAATTGTTAGATGCAGATAATACTTCACCTAATATTTAATGTTTGAACTGCAACTTTCAAGAAAAATCTTCTGTTACCATGTCTAACTCGAGACAGTTAAACCCTGAGTGTTTCTGAGTTCTTGACCAATATAGTAGAAACTTTTGAGTAAGGTTCATACCCTGGGGTTCATGAGATATGAGAATGAAATTGAGAGCATGCTGGGAATCCAGCCCACAGGAATGGGCATTTGGGGGGAAGATCCATAGCTTTTCTACTGCTTGTAAAAGGATAGCAGTCCTCCAAAGGGCCACTGGTTTAGATACAGATTTGCTGCCCATCCAGGTGCAGATTATAGACCATCTATTCTGAGTTATCGGGCAGTAGTAAATTACACAAGCACTTGATTGTTACTTTGCCTTTTCACTTACACTTACTTTTATTGTCCATCTTATAAACAGATTATACTAGGCTTATGAGTATCTAACAATTTTCTTTTAAAAACAAAAGCAGAGTTGGTTCTTTGCATGTAACTCTGAGGAGATGCAGCACTCAGTAATTGATAGGAGGTAAACAGTACACCAGGAGCCACTGCTGGAGCACAGGCAGAGATGGTGGTGGCAGTGGTGGGGACCGGACTTCCACAGAACAGGGTAGGAGCTGCCTGTATTCTACTTGAGTATACCTGTAGCTTTACCTCCAATTTTCTCTTTTCACTGAACAGAGGTTTTGCCCTACATATTATAAGTGAGGAAAACAACTTTACTATTACAATGATCTCTATTATTAAAATTGATAGGATAGAAGCTTGTGTCCCTTCAGAATGAATCGACCTCGACTACAGATAGTCAAGACGTGTAATTTTAATTTCTTAGGGACAGGAGCGGATCCAGGCCTTCCAGCAGTGTGTGAAATAGTTGAGGGTGGGTAGAAATGTGCCGTGGACAGGGCCATGACAATATACGGGTGATTTCCTTAACTAAGAAGTGGAATATTGGTAGCATTTAGAAGGCAAGAGAGGGAAAGGTAAAAGCTAACTAACAAGAAGACAGCACAATGGACACTTAAGGCAGGGTCTTCAAAGTCCCTTCACAGAGAGCTGTGTGCCCAGCCAGGCTCTGCTCAAACTCCACTCTGTGCTGTGGCAAGCCTCCTAGATGCTTCAAGCTTGTTTCCGCATCTGGAAAATGCTGGGCTGAACTGGATTATTTCCACTAGTCCATAGTGTGTATGGCTTAATTTCTGAGCAGTGCTGAATCCCAAGGAACCAAAGCATTCCCATTATCATTAAGAAATAGTAACACTCATCCTGTGACTCCAGGTTGGACGAGATGCTGCTATTCATGTGTGGGATACACAAACCCTAAAATGTTTGTCGCTATTGAAAGGACAACATCAGAGAGGCGTATGTGCTCTCGATTTTTCAGGTAAGCTCCAAATTTCCACTAATGGCATGTAAGATGGGCCAATAGCTATATTTTTTTAAAAACATGTTTTACTTGGTTGAATTCTGTTTGCATGTCACCTATGCAGTCTGAGGCTGGAAGCCATGCTGAACACCTCACTAGGTGGCCTTTTTGTGGAAGAATGTGGCCTTTTGATTTCATATCCTTTCCTTGTCCTCTTAAGTTCCTCTCCTGAGTCATCACTCAGAGCTCACACTAAGTTCCTCATCTGCTTGAGTGATTTTAAATCAAGAAGGTTACTGTTGAAAGTCTTGGCTACAAACATCTGGCAAGTGACTAAGAATATCAGTTTTAAGCCAGGCATGATGGTTTATATCTGTAACTATAGCTCCTGTGAGGCTGAGGCAGGGTAGGATAGAATGATGAGTTAGAGTGAGTTCCAGGCTAGCCTGGGATACAGCATGTCTCAAAAGAGAAAAAAAGATCAATTTCACAATTTCATCTCCAAATAAGCACATTGCTTCTCACTTAAAATATAAAGAGCTAGAGGAAGAGCTACAAATCTGAGAAGGGCCACTTCATGAAACTGGTGCTTTCACATTATAAAAGAAGACCTGAAATTTTCCCTTTCCTGAATTTGTGGACACAGTGCTATAAAAATACTGATTGATGAATACCATTGTCTTTAGAGTAAGTTTTTCTGGAAGCTAGGTTATAGAAGATGCTACTGCCTAGAACGTTGGAATCATTTGAGTTGTAAAAAGTAGGTCAATAGAAAAAAGACCCTGACCTTTCTGCATGAGTTTGATTCTATAATTTCCCTTTTCTAAAGAGCATTCAGGTGTTCAATATGCCCCAAAATAGTAACTAAATTACAAGACTCCTCAATCTTCCCACTGTCCCTCCCTCTCTACTCCCCTTGTTCAAACCTTCAGTCACTCTTACCCATGCTGTTGTCCTGCTCCTGGGGGTGTAGCTCAGTGAGAGAGCACTTGCCTAGCATGTGCAAGGCCCTGAGTTTGATCCTCAGTACTACAAATAAATAGATAAAATGAAAGATAAATGAGAGAGGAGGAGAGGGGAGTGGGGAGGAGAGGGAGAGAATGAACGGACATGCATGAGACATCTAGATTGCTGAACTTTTTAAAGAGGAGAAAGTGTGGTAAGGAAATAAAATCCCTACTTCCTTAGTCCATCCTACCACTTCTGGAGTCTTCTGGAAGCACAGTTACCATTGCCACTATGGACTCCCCTTGGTTGGATGACTCAGGGATCCGGATGGAAATTGATGCCTTCCCTCATCTGCCTTCAACTTTCCTTTGCAGCATTTTCACCCACTAGCCTATTCGTGCCTCTTTGCTTTTCTCTGACTGTAGAGCCTGCGTGCTCTTCTGTTGTGTTCTGTTTATGATTTTTGCCAGACTGTTCCCACATGTCAGTTCCAGCCTACCATCCTTAAGGCATCCACCAGGCAGAGATAACCTGTCCCTTCTTCTCCATCTCTTAGTTCATTGGTGTCAGTGCTTTCGTGGAGCCTGTCAGGGGCCATGTGGTACTGTCATTTGGGCCAACACCTCCTGTGCCCTGTACATACAGTGAACTAATGGAGGCAGGAGCTCCACCATACGTGTTGTGCTGTGGACTTAGAATTTACTTTAAAAACAATGTCACGAATGAATGAACAAGTGAGGTGTTGCTTAATGAGCTTTGCCTTGCCTCTCATGTTACTACTAGAACTTCATATTGCAAACCTCATTCGGGCAAAAATTATCTGTATTTTCTTACCAATTGCAAAAAAGGGCAGCAATTTTTTTCTCTAACTTTCAGATTCTCACATACTGTAAACTACTACACAAATGAGTTGTCATATTATTAGTGAAAGTTTTCCACTACTTATCGTTATTGAATTAGTGAAAATAAGAATGAACAGTTTAGATGTGTACTGGTAGGCCTGTGAGGTGGGAGAAGGCCTGAGAACTGAGGGAGAGAACTGCTTAACATCACACCTGCAAGTTGAATGCTATGACAACACCTTCAGTGAACAGTGATTGCAAAGTCTTGGGCTTCCGCAAGTTTGATGGCATACAGTTTTAGAGTAAATGTGCCATGTGTCCTTGATAAAGCAGTAAAATCTAAAAGAAGCTATTATTTTTGTTCATATATAGTTTTTAAAAATATTTATTATT